GGAGGAGTGAATACGCACATCCCGAGTATGTCACACGTAAATGTATGCGAATGCGCGCAATTAGATATGTATCGTACACATGGAATTCACATGTGCATGCGTATATGTGTGGGCATACGTCTGTAAATGTATATGCGTACGCGTCGATGTAATGTATGTGTATGTATGTGTGCATGTAAATGTAAAGGTATACGTAGATGTACGTGCATATGATTGTGTATACATGTACATGTGCATGTACAAACGCAGATGCATATACATCACCATATGCATTACCATACACACACATACACACACTGGCATCTGCAACTCCATATGCATTTGCATATGCATACATAAGTACAGCGGCAGATACAAATCCAAATGCATTTACATATACATATACATATACATAGGCGTCCATATGTATACATTAATGTATCCGCCACAATGTATCTGGGTACGGAGAGGGCATGTCCTCAAGTCCTTTGCCTGATCATCTAAACCTTAACCCTTACTCATGTCAGTAGGCCCCAAGACGTTCCAAGAGGGCCCCAAGAAGCCCCCAAGACAGACAAGAGTGCCCCGGGTCGCCGAACGATGCTCCAAGACGCCCAAGATGGCACCCAGACGACCCACGAGGCCTCCAAGACGCCCAAAGAGGCCTCCAAGAGGCTTCCCACGAGGGCCCCAAGAGGCCCAAATCAATTAGCTGCCTCACGTTGTGGAAGGATTTGTGCGGTTTCGCCTTTTCGGCTTCCCGACGCTCCCAAACGCCCCTGGAGGCCCCGAAGGCCCCCCCCCCCAACACGCCCCGAGAGGCCTCCAAAGGGGCCCCAGCACGGCCCCCAAGACGGCCCAAGAGGCGCCCAAACCGGCCCAAAAGGGCCCCCAGACGGTCCCAAAAGGGGCCCGAGAAAGGGAGCACGAACCGCCCCCAGAGGCCCCCAGGAAGCCCCAACAGAACCCCCAACAGAACCCCCGAGGCCCCCCACCAGGCCCAGGACGCGCAAGAGAACAAACCCAAGAGGCCCCAAGGAAAGCCCCGAGAGGTGTCCAAACTGCCTCCCCAACAGGACCCCGAGAGGCCTTCCACAAGATCCCAACGAACATCCAATCGGCTTCACACCCGCAGAACCAGGCACGGTGGCGGGATGGGCACAAGGCCACTTCAAGACGGCCAAGATGGCCGCTGAGACGGCCACGATGGCCCAACATGGGCCCGAGAGGTTCCGAGATTGCCCCAGAGGAGTCCAAGAGGTGCTCCAGGAAGGCCTGAGGGAGCCAAAATATAAAATTGTCCTTTGGCGGCTGAAGGATGTTAGTTTTTCCTCGGTCTTGGTGTTCCGACCGCCTAAGACGGCTCACAGAGTCCCCAAACTTGTCCCAAAGGAACCCCCGATGGCTCCAGAACGGCCCAAAAGGCAAGCCAGCCCCAAGAGGGCCCCAAGACGGCCCAAAGGGTCTCCAAGATACCTCAAGACGGCCCAGACACGGCCAAGATGGTTTCCAAGATACCTCAAGACTGCCACGGTACCTCCAAGACGACGACCAAGATGGCATCCAAGACAGCAGAAATGTCCCCAAGAGAGCCGAAGGTGGCCAAAGAGGCGCCCACCATGCCTCCAAGACAGCCCAACATGCCTCCACGACGTCCTCCAGGAAGGCCCGAAGAAGCCAAAATCCATGCTTTTCCTTAGGTGTTTGAAAGCTTGTCGCATTTGCTTCTTTTCGGCCTTCCGATGACCCAAGGCGGCCCAAGAGGACCCCAATATCGCCCCAAGAACGCCTAAGAGGCCCCCAAAAGTCCCCATGACGGCCAAGACGCACCTTAGACGGCTCCACGAATGTCCAAAAAGGGCCCAAGAGGCTTCCAAAACGCCCAAGGTAGCCTCCAAGACGGTCCTGAAGCGCCCTAAGAAGGCCCCGAGTCGGTTCAGAAAAGGCCCTGATGGCGTTAGATGGCCCTAGAACGTCGTAAGACGGCCAAAGAGGCCCCCCCAAAGCCCTCAAGAAGCCCCCAAGAGCTCCCAAGAGGCTCAAGGAACCCCCCAAGAGGCCTCCAAGAGGTCCAAAGAGTGTTTCAAAAGGTTCCCATAACGCCTCCTCCTCCTGCTCCTCCTCCCTCTTATGCTCCTCCGCGCCATGTTCCTCCAAGCGTCCCCTAAAAGATTACCACTGCCGTTCGGGGAACACCTCATCTGATAGCTTGGCCAAGCTAAAACCCAACTTTCGGCCAAGCAGGCGCTTCCCAAAAGGCAAGGGGCGCGGCGGTGATTCGCCGTAGGCGTCTTCGATCAGTTACATATGCACATATACATACCCAACAGTGTGCGTGTGTAGATGTATATGTATAGGGAGGCATGCTTGCTGCGCGTATCAGATGAAACGAGCACCTGGTTTCAACAAGAAGGCATGGCGTCAAAACGAGCGCGCCATTGATCCACGCCGGGGGATTACCCAAACATTCCTGGATTTCCACCTCTGCCCTCCGCAATTTCGGCACGCCTCGCACGCTTCGTGGCCCCATGGGGAAATCCACCCAAGGCCCCAGTGGCTGTGGCCACACTTGCCCCCGCCATCCATTTGGAACCTCTTGGTGAACGACACGAACGAACGAACGAAGCGCCGTGCACGTCAGGGGTGCGTCGGCAAATCAGTGAAACAGCAAGTTCCGCTGCCAGAGGCGCGGCTGCGAATCAAGAAGACGCCGCGCAGACGCCGCCAGCGACGACGGCGGCGGCGAAGGGGGGGGGGCGACGAGGGGGAGGAGGACGCAGGCGAGGAGGAGGGCGAGGAGGAAACAGCACTGGCAGGCTCCCTGCTCACGCTGTTTCAGTCCATGTGAGTGGCTCTCCCACCACCCCGAAAGCAGAGACAGCCCACTCTACATTCAGACAAACCATCCATACCTGCTGAATGCTACAGCTGCGAAGACAAGCGCCTTGCGACTCCGCGCCAGTCTCCAGGTCTGTGCCGCCACAGCTCCTCCAAGGCGTCTCGGCCACTTGCCGCTGTGCAGGCCAAGTCAAACACATTGCGCTTCCATGTGCTCCTCGGTTTGCCTCGCCTCCGGGGCCCGAAAGGGCGGGCTAGGATGAACGCCCCTGGTTGGAATACCATTCGTCGCGTGACATTGTCTTCTGGTAGACAAGCGATTTTTCCGATCAGCTCGAGCTGCTTGCAAGCTACACTGTATGTCAGACAATTCCTGCCGCACCTCTCCAGCACGGCTGCGTTGGACACCCGGCTGAGATAAGAGTGAGGGACTCCAGCGATTCTTCGCAGGCGCCGAGCTTAGAAGGCGTCCAGTCGCGATCTCTCTGCCTGGTTCAACCAGAGGGTGTGCAGGCAGTACATCAGCTTGGACACGACACAGGCTTCAAACATCAGGACGTTCTTGGGCTGACATATCTTCGCGTGTCTCCACAGTTTGCACAGCGTGTCGAAATCTTTCTGGGCCATGATGATGCGCCGACTGAACTCAGCTCCGCTCCCACCGTGTGCGTGGAGCAGCCCCCCAAAATACACCATGTTATCCTTCTGGGTGATCGGTTGACCGTCAGGGCTTAGGAGCTGTGTCTGGCAACGAATTTACATTACCTCTAGCTTGCCCCAATTAAAACATAAGCCATCATTGGTGCCGGTCTCTCTCGCAGAGGTGAACGACAAGGACATGGAAAAATCGGATTGCCAGCGGCTTTGCCAAGCATCTCTCGTGGCCACAGAAACAGCGAATTTGCACGCACATGCGTACCACATTAGATCCACGATGGAATGCGCAGCATACGTGTTTCAACAACGCGGGAGGGAACCTAAACGTCCATGGATTACGACGCCCACACTGGACTTGTTGAACAAACGCCATCAATTTCAAGCACAGGGGACGACGGAGGAACTGCATAAGCTGAGCGAACGTATCAACGCATTCGTGAGGGCTGATAAGAGGAAGCGGTTGGAAGCACAGCTGGCTGGAGGATCGTGGACAGCAATTCGAGCACTACGGAAGACGCCTCCCAAGCTGCCAGTCCGAATTCAGGACAAGCGAGGACAGAGTGCTGATAGTTCCCAACGTGCAGATACACTAGCCGATTCCCTTGAAGAACTACAATGGAAAGTTCAACGTGCAACTCCTGCACCGACTGGGCACGAGCACAAGGGACACACATTGCCGAGATCGACTGGTACGTTCAACACGGAGGAACTGAAGAATCGATTGCGGGCTCCCTCGACGGGCAAAGCGGCCGGCATTTACGACATACCTCCAGAATGTTGAAAAGCATTGTTATGATCACAAGAAACATGCGACGACTTGTTGAGCGTCTTCCAGAGGTATTGGGACGAGAAGGATTTCCCAGAAGAGTGCAAGACGTCCTTGGTACAACACAAACAGGGCTACGCAAGCCTTCCAGAGAACTGCAAGCCAATTTCCCGTTTAACAATTAGACATCATCTCCCAGCATGGAGATTGCAGAAACGCATCCAAAATGGCGGGGTAGAGCAGATAATACGTTCGTGCCAGTTCGGATTCCGCCTGGGCAGAGGTACCTCACGAGCCATCAGCATCGCACGTCGCATGTTCGAAGCTGCGCAAACAGGTAAAGCACCAGGACTAATTGCAGTATAGCCTGATTGGTCAAAAGCTTTCTATCGAATTTGCCATGATGCTCTTCTGGGTGCCCTACAAAGATTCGGACTGCATTTTGGACCAGATGCAGCTACATGCGTCCATCTACCAGCACAGACGCTGCATACTAAAGCGATACAAGCAGCAGGGATCGCCCAAGGGTGTCCGCTGTTTGTTTATGATTTACAGAGCGTCCTGTTCTTCGACATGGACAAACGAATGGCGAGCCTGCACGAAGATACTGCGGAACCAGAGTATATGGCATATGGTATGCCGTGATCTCCTATACGCTGACGGCGCAATGCTCATCAGCAGCGGCTCCGGGAAATTGCAGACTTTTCTGGACATAGTGATTGATGAAGGCCGAAGGGACAGATTTGATCTCAATCCCACCAGCCCTCTGGGCGTCGGTGGTTTAGAGCGTTTCCTCTTCCACCTCGTTCTTCCCCTTCGGGGAGGGGTTTACTCCTCCCCCTACCCCCTCCCCACTGACCTGGACAGGGGGGGCCGCGGGTAGTTAGAGCGTCCAAGATCGACTCCTGGGAAGGCTAAAATTCGACACCCCTCACGAGGATCGTGGCTCCTGAGGGGGGGGCTGTAATTAGGGACCCCCCCTTCGTTGATCGATCTCCTCCAACATTGTTCCAAAAGACGTCTTGGACCCCCTCTTGGGCTCTGCGCGCGGGCGGGCGGAGCGCCGCCCGCCCGCCCGCAAGGCCCAAGAGCCCACCAAAACGTTCGAAGACACTTCCAATACGCCACCAGGGAGGAGGAAGAGGCGGACGAGGAGGAGGAGGAGGAGGAAGAGGAGGAGGAGGAGGAGGAGGAGGAGGAGGAGGAGAGGGAGGAGGAGGAGAGGAGGAGGAGGAGAAGGCGGAGGAGGAAGAGGGGAGGGGAACAGCTGCCGATCATCGGCGCTCTTCGTTCGAGTGCCTGGTGTAGGATGGGCTGGTGGGGATACTTTTTTTTTTTCCGCCGCAGGCGGAAGCGCCGGCGGCGGGAGGTCACGGTCGGGCTGCGGCCGTGACGAATTACCCGGGCGCGCGCGGGGGCCGCGGGTCAGGCGGCGGTGCAAGCAGCAACCCAGGGTGTCTGACACCACAAGAATGTATGCACGCGCTTGCATAACTCTGGCATAGTATATTCACCAACCGGTGCCCCGCTTAGAATTGTTGAGCAAGCTGTGCATTTGGAGGTCTCTGCCGAACGTTCACTGCGTAGCTCAACCAGAAGTGACAAGAAGACTTGGTCAGGGCTAAGCAACCTTCAAGCGCCTAGCCTGGTGATGGTCGCACGCCAACATGTGTCGCCGCAGAAAAACTGAACTGTACAAAGCTGTCTTGATGTCGAAGCTGTTTTATAACTTAAAGACTTTGTGGCTGTTGCAGGCGGACAAAAATCTTCTGGATAGCTTGAACACGAAATGTTCAAGGCAAATCCTCAACATCTTTAGCGCGTATGTTTCACGAGTCCCCAATATGAGGATTCTGGACAAAGCGGGGAAACTTCCACTGAGCTGCACTTTGCGCGAACGTCAGACGGCGATGTATAATTAAAGTGTAGCGATGCCGGAAAACCACCCTCTGAAGCTTTTAACGTGCGACCAGGCTCTGAACGCCCAAGCAAATGTGAGCACCAGCGACGCAGGGGGAGGCCTAAACAGCAGTGGGCTCTTTGCGTCTATGGGCCTTTGCTTGCACAGGGGATGTAGCACTGGTCCCTCCCCTCTTATCCCTCCCCGGTTCCCTCCTCCCCTCCTCCATTCATCCGATTCTCCCTGCTCTATACGATGGTCTGCTTCAACGTCGGGCGTTTGGTTTTCTGCGTCACAGTCGTGATTCACTCTGTTTTCGTGCTCCAGTCGTGATGCGCTCTGCGTTTTTGTGCTTTACAGTCGTAATGCGCTTCTCGTGCACGCCGCGCGCTATCGCGAATGGGAGATTCAGCTCGGATTCGCAGTGGATCCCGATGCTCTTCCCAACGGGTTTTGCAGCTGCACGGCTTCTGATTTTACATTTGCCAATGCGCCGTGTAGGCGCCAGGCTCGACCGACCGACCTCACATGTTTCGTGGCCCTATAGGGAACTCCACCGAAGACTCAGATAGCTGTGGCCACATGCGCCCCTGCCACCCATGTATGCGCACCCCACACACGCTTCGTGGCCCCTTGGGGAGCTCCACCAAAGACCCCAGTGGCTGTGACCACATGCGCCCCGCCAGTCATTTCGGCACACCGCTCAGACGCTTCGCGGCCCTATCGGGAGGTCCACCGAAGGCTCGTGTGGCTGTGGCCGCATGCGTCCCGCCACCCATTGCGGCACACCTCTCGCGCGTTTCGCGGCCCGTCATGGAAACTCCACCGAGGGCCCCACATGCTGTGACCACATGCGTCCGCGCTACCCATTTCGGCGCACCCCTCGCCCTCTAAGAAGCTCCACCGAAGGCCCCAGTGGCTGTGGCCACATGCATAGCCGCCACCGATGTCGGCACACCCCGTCCACGCTTCGTGGCCCACGGGAAGCTCGACGGAAGGGCCCAGTGACCCCGAAGGCCCCAGTGGCAGCGACCACAAGCGCCCCCGCCACCCATTTCGGCACACCCCTCGCACGCTTCGCGGCCCCATAGGGGGCTCCGCCGAAAGCCCCAGTGACTGTGACAACATGCGCCGCCGCAACCCAGTTTGGCACACTCCTCGCACGTCTCGCGGCCCCATAAGGAGCCCCACCGAAGGCCCCAGTGGTTGCGGCCACGTAACCTGTAAGATTGTCTTGAAACGGGGCCATGTGTTCCCTAAACCGGCCGCATCCTCCGAAGGAAGCCCGTACTCATCTGCACTGAACTGCGTGGAATTAAAAACGATGGGCACATCCTTGCGTTCCAGAGCATCATCAATCGAGAACATTGACGTCCCAGCAGTTGCCTGTGGGGCAACATACGACCCGTCCAGGTGCTGATGTTACATGAGTCAACGATTTACGCATAGCTTCGACACTGCCAGTTTGTGCTGACCGCTGGTGCCCCCCTTCACGTTGCTCGAGATGATGTGGGTGGACAGACTCGTGGGCAGCGAATGCATTGGCAAATTTGGACTCCAACGGTCGCATGTCATGGCAAGCGCGGCTGACTTGCTGCTGGATGGGGCGGCGCACGACGCAGGCTGGCCAAAGTCGACCGCGTGGATTCCAGGCGGGTCTGGTAATGCTGCACCCATTTTCTCTTTGCGCATGGACCTCAGAAGCGAAAAGATGGCCGAGATATCGCAACGATCTCAACACCATCGTGTAGGACAAGAGCTGGCTGACTCTTGAAATGGCCACAACCTGCTCTACCCTTGCCCACACACCGGTGGGGCAAATAAAACAACGAACCTGGCTGTACAGGAGGAACACCACCATGAAAAACGGGCGAACACACACACGCACACATCTGTTTCGTCGGCGGCGGGGCGAGAACGCACCAGCGAACAACGATCCGGGGCAACCGATACGCGAATGAGACTGGCCGTTCCAAGCCCATTGACCTGGCGGGTAAAACGAAGGCGGCCCTTAGCTCCACGCCCCACTCGCCGGAAACAAGCATGCATAACGGGATCCGACTTTGACCGCCAAGAATTCTTGCACTGGGGCCAATCCGGGTTTCTTCCGACAACCACCGTGAAAAAACACAACTCCAAACGCCCCCCGCCGCCACGTGTATAGGAACCGCATGGACCACCTCCCTGCTCAGACTGGTGCGCCCACGGCTAGCTAGCCGGCGTCGCCGGAACGAACGTTCTGCTGAAAACGTCCATGACCACAGTCGAACAACTAGAAAAACCCTGGACCAAAATGTCTACGGAGAGGAGGAGGAGGAGGACACGGAAGAGGAGGATGAGGAGGAAAAGGGGGAGGAAGAGGAGGAGGAAAAGAAGGAGGAGGAGGACGAGGGGGAGGAGGGGGAGGAGGAGGAAGAGGAGGACGAGGAGGAAAGGGAGGAAGCGGAGGAGGAGGAAGAGGAGGACGCGGTAGTACGCAGCAGATGAGCAATGCTCGGGGTTACGCCAGGGAGTAAATGCTGGCCTCGTGCGAACGCAACCTGTAGTTCAGCATCGGCAGAAAGCAGACGCTCGGGCGACGACATTCGGCACCGCCGTCTCTGGCTCCCGGGGAGCGGCGCGAGCACACCGGCGAGGGGCCCCGGCAGGCGCACCGACGAGCGGACCAAGGGACTCCGGGGGGCGACAGGGACCGACGGGCGCGCAGACGGGACCGAGGGCCGACGACGACGACGATCGTCGTCGTCGTCGTTGTCGTCGTCGTCATCGCCGAGGAGAGAGGACTAGCGGGAGAGGAAGCAGGGGGCGAGCGAGAGGCCGGCAGGAACACACAAACCACAAAAATTGGCGCTGCAAAACTTGTGAAGGGGGCCTCACTCATGCCCGCTGTCCAACGCAGCGCGTTTTACGCATCACACGGCGGGTGCCAGCGGTCACGCCAGCCTCGCCTCGGAGCGGGGCGCGGGGCGCTGGCACACTTCAGAACGACACTGACGCAGTCCAGCCGCCAGCCAACGTGTCGCACCCACCGTGCACAACGCCCAGCAGGTCCCGCTGCGCCTTTCCCCAGCCATCGAAGAAGTGGTGAATAATGTCTTCGAAAGCGCCCTGAAGTGTAGGAGCCCCGTCGGGCTGGTCCCAGAACTCGCGGCAGATCGCGGGCTCGTAAACCTCGTCAATGTCAGCGTGCTTTCGGAGTTGATAGATGTCGCTCGATTGCTCCAGCAAGCGGACAAGAGGGTGTACGATAGGCTCGGGGATCGAAGAGTGTCGTGAGCCGCCCCATGCCAGGGTCGGCAACATCCCCCCAGTCGTCCAGCATGCCGTCGGCTGCCCTCCCCATGCAATCCTCGCGCTCCGACGGGGTGCCCTCCGTCGCGCGCTCCAGCTGGAGTGCCACCGTGTCGTCGTCCGTCGGCACGCCCGCGCAGGTGGCGTTCGCCATCGCGCCCCGGGCGATGCTCGACTGAGCCGCGGACTCGCCCTCGAGCTGGGCAAGGCCTCGCCGACGTGCATCAGCCAGGGGCAGCGCCGGCCTGAGGTCCTCGATCGTCAAGGACTCCACGGCCTCGAGCAGGAACGGCCGCGGGAACAGTGCTAAGATCGGGAACTCCACGCACTGGGTGCTGTACTCGGCCTCGGCGGGCACCGACTTCGCGAATGAGAAGGAGGGCTCGGGGTCCAGGCCAGGAGGGCCCGCCGTGGCCGCGTCGCATCGGAAGAGACGGAGACGCCAGTGGTGGCGATGAAGTTGGGCCCTTTGAGCGCCCACCTGGACGGGCGCCGCAAGCAGATCTGCACTCCACCTTCACCATCGCCGCCATCCCGAACGCGCAGCGTGCAGGCAGCATGCCCCGCCCGAGCGGCGGCGAGCAGGCCAGTCTCACCCCCGGGAGAAGCGGCACACCGCCGTCAGCGCGTCGACGCCTCGGCTGCCCCTATCATCCCTTTGCGCGGGTAGGAATGGCCGCCTCACGGCAGGGCGGGCCTGGGCTGGGGCGGCGGCTGGAGGAGGAGGAGGAGGAGGAGGAGGAGGAGGAGGAGGAGGAGGAGGAGGAGGAGGAGGAGGACGAGGGAGGAGGAGGGAGGAGGAGGGAGGAGGAGGAGGAGGAGGAGGAGGAGGAGGAGGGGAGGAGGAGGAGGACGAGAGGAGGAGGACGAGGACGAGGACGAGGACGAGAAGGACGAGAAGGACGAGGAGGAGGAGGAGGAGGAGGAGGCGGAGGAAAGGGAGCAGGAGCAGGAGCAGGAGCAGGAGCAGCAGGAGGAGGAGCAGGGGCAGGGGCAGGGGCAGGAGGAGGAGGACGAGGAGGACGAGGACGACAAGGAGGACTACGACGGGGACGAGGACGAGGCCTCACGCCCGCCCCCGCGCCAGGGCGCCCCTCCCCCCAGGGGACGGCCCGCCGCGGGGCGGCCGCGCCGCCGCCCCCGGCCGGAGGCCGGCCGGGGGCGGCGCCCCGCGCCCATGGAGCCGAAGCGCGCGGCGCGGCAGGGCGGAGTGGGGGGGGAGCGGCGAGGAGCGGCGGCGAAGGGGGGGGAGGAGCACCGGGGGGGAAGGCGGCGGCAAGAGCCGCGAGGAGGTAGGGGTAGGGTTCGCATGTGGCCCCCTGGCAGGGGGAAGGCACGGGGGCGGGCAATGGGCAGGAAGTGCAGCTGGGGGGGGAAGGACGCGGAGAAGAGGCGCAGCAATCGGGGCGTCATCGGCAGGCGGCATATAGATACGCGCACACACATACACTACATTTTCATAAATCTATATATATATATATATATATACATATGTATATACAGATGTGCATGTACGTATGTATGCATGCATGCATGTATGTATGTATGTAGGTAGGTAGGTCGGCAGGCAGGTAGGTAGGTAGGTAGGTATGTATGTGTATATATATATATATATATATATGAATAATGCCTGTGATGTTGCGTGCGTGGGGGAGACGGGGAGGATCTCTTGATGAGCGTGTTGTGGCGGCGGCCCCTCCGAAAGGCCACGAATGCCGTGCAAGCTGATAACGTGGCGCTGTGCTTCGTGAGGCGGGGGGGAGGGAAACGCGTGCGACGTTGACTCCTAGGAGGGCGTGCTGAGCGTTTCGCGCCGAAACGTGGTGGGCCTGAACCCAGAACTGGCGGCGCGCCGCGCTAGGCAAACGCTCTCACGCGAACCGGTGACCACCACAGCCGGCATCACGTGCACGAGCGCGCCGACAACATGCCAGCCCTCGAAAATGAGACCATTCAGGCCGTACGGACCAGCACAGAAGCGACAAACGTCGAGTCTGGGACGATATCGATCGCCTCCACGGAAGCCTCACCATCGTAGGCGGAAGGGGCAGCGACATCCTCGTCGCGAAGGCGTCAACTTGGCGACGAAACGATTTGTCAGACGAGGAGGGCCATGATGCGACGCGTTGAAAGAGTTCAGTTGCTTGCCCGTGAGCGGCCCATCTGTGGAATTTCTGCTTCCAACGCATGGAGTCGTCATGGCTCGAGGGGTTCTGTCAACACCCATCACCCCACGACGCTGTGTCAAAGTCGATGGCAGGGACCCCCGTGGACGGCGCCACCACGAGGACGCCTGCAGCGCTCGTGCCGCGCAGAAAAGACTGAGACCCTTCTCACAGCAGCAGCCCAGCTGGTCCACTCCATTCCTCTGTCAGACATCCCGAACATGGTCTCACGAGCAAGACTCTGCGCGACAAGATGGTTCAAGGCACCATTACCCTTCTAGAGATGCTCCTCGGTCGGCCGTGGACTCCCTCCCGTGGCGCGCGGTGCGCGCCACGGGAGGGCTCCAGCACCGACCCACGAGATCTGCGAGGACCTACAATCAATTACGTCTACGCCGCTTCTGGTATCCGCACGGAGCAGTGAGCGTTAGGTCGGGCATGGACGATGAATAAAACGTGCCCAACAAATATGCAAAACATGCCCCCCAAGAAACTAAAACAAACGTCCCCAGACCATGGTTTGACTCGAGAATGGACATTCCCCCCGTAGAGGGACAGGCCCGACTTAAAGTGAGCGGCTGCGCCCGATAGTCGGGCGCGCGAAACAGGAGGGCAGGGCGCAAGGGAGGGCGGCAAGAGGGGGATCGCGATGGACAGCCCCTGCAGCAAGGACGGGTCGGCTGCAGGACCGATCCGCCCAGTGACCCCACCTTGGGCTGCACTCAAAGGTTTCCTGGGGCACCCACGAGGATCCGTGGGGGCCCTCCCACGAAACCGCCGAGGGATCCACACAGCATGCCGGGGGGGGGGCGACGGATGGCTCCCTCACGCCGCAGCCTCACCCCGTCGCAGGATGCTGCCGACACTGAGGTGCGCCGACTCGATGGCTCCTCGCCAGCTTCTCGCGGCAAAGACTGGGTCGGGCACATCGCCCTACAGGCGGATGATAGACGAACAATCAAAGATAATCCGAACATACTCCAAACATGATCACACATAGTCAACAACTCGCCCCCGACAATTTTTGACTGTTTTTGAAAACAGTCGTCAGCCTGACCTAAGGAACGATAAACAAGGAACGAAGCCCCCTTTTGTCCAAGTAAGTCTACGAATTCCCGAAGGAACGCGACCCGCGCGTCCAAAATCTGAAGGAACACCAGGGGGCTCGCCGACAACAAGGTAGCGCAGCGCATACAAACCTAAGGAACGACCGAGCCCCTTTTGAAAAGCAAGCGTTCCTTATTCAAACCGCTCACTGCATCCCTCCTGTATCGGAAGCTGGGCGAGGTCTGGCAAATCCGTGGCTGTTAAAACGGTCTCCCCGGAAGAACGACAAAACATAATTTCCCAGGAATAAAGCTCAGCGCACCAAAAAATAAACGGGCTGCTCCCCGGCAGAGGAACACAACTTCCCGGAGCTCCGCTTTCGCAGCCACGGATTTGCCAGCCCGCGCCCGACGTACGGCCGAGGGGCCCCAGAGAGGCCTCCCCGAAACACCGCGGGAGGCCTCTCCGAGAGAGGCCTCGGGCCCTCGACCTCTCGGCGTGCGGTGGCGGCGCGGGCCGAGGGGCCAGTGCATGTTACCAGCTCCTTCGGCTGCACGGTTTCCCCAAGAGCCGTGGGCGACCCGAGGAGGAGGAGGAGGAGGAGGTGGAGGAGGAGGAGGACATGGAGGAGGAGGAGGCGGAGGAGGAGGAATTGGAGGAGGAGGAGGAGGAGGAGGAGGAGGAGGGAGAGGAGGAGTTGTTGGAGTGCAACGTCTAATGACCTGCTTGCAGAAGGTCAGAACCTGCGGCATGTGCCAAATACCAGTCTCACGTCTGTGTATATATACACATATACATATACATAGACATATACATATACATATACATACACATCTACATATATATATATAAATACATATATATATACGTATACAAATACATATATATATGTATCGACGTGTTCGGGATGGATGCGTCTATAGACAACGCGGCCGTTGCCTTCGGCGCAGTGCAAGTAGGGCGGCGCTGAGTTGGATTTTGGCACTGCCTTGCAGCTGCTCGTCCACGACATTCGGCCGTGGTTTTAACCCTGACGCCGTGAATGGCCGTCGCACCGCGGCGTTCCGCGGCCGGGAGGTGGCTCCTGCTCTCGTGGGGCTGTTGGCCGTTGGCAGAATAACCAGTTCGTGGCAGAGCTTCAGCAGGAGGAGGAGGAGGAGGCGGAGGAGGCGGAGGAGGAGGAGGAGGAGGAGGAGGAGGAGGGGGAGGCGGAGTAGGAGCTGGAGGAGGAGGAGGAGGAGGAGGAGATGGAGGAGGGGGAGACGGAGGACCCTCCACCTTCAGCAAGCGCTGGAGCGACAAGCCGTGTGTACAGTGGAGGCCAGTCCACAAGAACACTTCCACAAGAAACCCAACCCTGAGAACCCAGGACGTCCATTAAAGTCTGGTGTGGGAACGTCACGCTCTCCATCGCAAAACCATCGAAACCAAAGAAACCAGGGGCACCCTGGAGGCAAGCAGGGTGCCCTGTAAGTTCGAGGGCGCGTTGCAGACGAATCGGTGCAGGAAGGTCGCCTTCACGTCGAGAAGGAGAAGGGCCTGCATCATGAGCTGTGGTAGAGGTGCAGGGCGGAGGCCACTCCTGCGAGCGCACTGCGAGCACGTTTACGGCAGGGCACCATCGAACGGGCAGCCACGCTTCGTCAGGAGGCAAAGGACGCGGAGAGAGAGGAGGACTCCGAGGAACAGGAAGACCAGCAGCAGCAGCAGCAGCCGCAGAGCCCGGAGGGAGGTGACGAGCATGGGGAGGAATGGGCAGGGAGGACCTGAGTGGGCCCTGGAAACGACAGGGCCGTTTTTTTACCGGTTCCGTTTTGCCGCTTTTCATCGGTTCCGACACGCCGTTGTTTTACCGGTTCCGTCGCCGTGTTTTGACCGGTTCCGGCTCCGGTTCCAGTCCCGGAGCCGTTTTTCCGCCGTTTCCGGTCGCCCTTTTTTGCCGTTTCCATGTTCAAGGGATATTTTTCTGGAAACGGTGAAAAAACAGCCCTGCCGTTTCCGGGGCCCACGAAGGGGAGGACAGGTGGCGCGGGGAAACGAGGGAATCGGCGGCGGCGATAGGAGCGGATAGACCTGGGGCGGGCGTTGCACGTATTCGCCCAGGAGCCTCGTCGAAGACATGGGCGATCGGAGGCTCTGGAAACGAGTCACAAAATACTGGAAGATCCTGCAGGATCCCGCAGGATCCAGGACCCAAACCTGGGTCAATGCAACCCTGGCGTGGCAGGATCCTGCAAGATCCGGCGCTCTGGCTGACCCCTGCTTGCCTTGGGGCCCGGAAGGTGGAGCGGCCAAATTTCTCCGGCGTGGCTCGCAGGCCGGGCGGGCTCCCCGCCGGGGCGTCAGATGAACCCGTCCTCTGCCGGAGGTGTCTGGGCGGGGGGGAGGTGCGAGCTCCTCCTCCTCCTCCTCCTCCTCCTCCTCCTCCTCCTCCCATCCTCATCCTCCCCTCGCTCCTGCTGCCCTCGCTCCTGCCACTCCCTGCGTTCCGCCTCCTCCTGCCCTCACTCCTCCCCGCCTGAGCGACGATCACAGACAGGTCTTACGCGAGATGACATAGCGACCCTACGCCGCAGCTTACGCGGGAGGCCGGCGCGGCACGCCACACTGAAGACGTGGGCGCTCACGCGCGACCTTGCGCGGGCAGCTTGCGCGCCAATGTCGGCACAGGCGACCCCGTTTTGTTGCGTCGCCCACCTCGATCCATCGGCGCTCGAGCCTCAACCTTCGAACCTCGATTTCCGATGCTGGCGACGACGTCGATACTCGATGTTTCCGTCCTCCTCCGTCTGTCCTCCTCTTGCCATTCTCCTCACCCTCGCCCTGCTCGTCCTGCTCATAATGCTCACGGTCGCTTCACGCCGCAGCTACTGTTGTCGCATCTACCCATTTATTTGCTCTTGCACGCCCTCGCTATCTCTCTGGTTGCCACGCAAGTCCTCGACCGCCTCCCGGTTATCATTAGTAGTGTTTTCCTCCTCCTTGTCTTCCACCTCATCCTCCTCGCAATTCTGCTTCGACTTCTCATCCTTCTCGTCCTCCTCATCCTACTCCACTGCCTTCTCCCAACCCGCCTCGTCGCCATTCTCCGCATTCATCCAAATCAATTCACTCCGCCTCCTCCTCATCCACCTGCTCTTCCCCTTATCATCCCCAACTCCCGTTCCCTCTCGCTCCTCCCTTCCTGCCACCCCCACCCTCCTTCCATCCCTCCCCTCTCCCTCCCTCCCCCCTGTCAAGCCTCCATCCCCCTCACCCCGACACTCCCCATTATAAGCATCAAGCGGGGCTTAGCCCGATTGAACCGGATTCTGGACCAGGGCAGAATCAGAATTCGACTTCCCAGGAATTGCATTTGAATGCACGTGCCCCGAGTGTGCCGCACGCCCCGAACGTGCCGCACCTGGCACGGCTGGGGTGTGCGGCGCACCTGGCGCACAAGGAGGCGCGTGGCGCATGTGGTGCACCGGGCGCGCCCGGCACGCGCGGGCCCCAAGGGCGCGCGCACCTCGCACCAGCGTCGCGCACACGGGGCTGGTGTTGGTTCCTAGTCGCCGTCCATCCACAGACGACCGCTGAACATGCTCAGGCTCGAATGTTACTTTTGCGTTGGGAGGGCGGTGGGAGTGATCTAGACGACTTGCTATCCAGGGGGTGTCCTCACCCCTCCCCTACCCTGTCTCCCCTGGACCTGGACGTCCAAGATGGCCCAAGATGACTTTAAGAGCGCCTCGGAGAGCCAAATGAACCCCAATATGGCTCAATACATCCCAAGATGCTTACATATGTCTCGAAGATACATCAGGAGGCTCCCGGACCGCTCCAAAACTGGTCCAAGTGGCCGACGGGCTCCCCAAAGAGGCCTCGAATAAGCCCGAATATTCCCAAAACCTAGGAGGTACTCCGACGGTAGGACCCTGCATGACAATCGATGTGAAGCTCTCCTCGCTTTTTCCTATTCGTATGGCGGAAAATTCTTTCCGCCCTCTCCGTCCTCTTCCTCCTCCTTTTCCTCCTTTTTCCTCCTCCTCCTCGTCCTCCTCGCCCCACCCGTTGCATTTCTCATCCTCTTCCCCCTCCGCCTCCTCCTTTTCCTCCGCCTCCTGCACCCCCCCCCTCTCCTCCCCATGTCCCCCTTGGTCATCGGATTTTGCTTTGCCCTCCTCCACCTCCCCCCCCCGCCCTCGTCGTCGCCGCCCCGCTCGCCCCCCCCTGCGCTCCCCCTTCCTCCTAGCAGGGGCGCGCGCGACGATTCTCCCCGGAGCCCTCCCCGCCGCGCCTGGCAGGGGCGCGTTCCCCGACGGCGAAATCGCGCAGCCGTCGGGGACAGCTCCGCGGGCCAGGCCGTCGGGGCAACCCCGCGAGCCGCTGGCGCGCGAGACCGAACGGTCGGGACAACCCAGCGGGCTCCGAGCGGGACGCCGCCGCGCTCGGGCCGGGGGCAGCACGGGGCCCAGCTCCGCCGCGAGCTGCTCAGTCTCCACCCTGGAGCTCTCCGCTCTGACATCGAGCTCCAAGAGCGCCTTCCGCAAGGATGCCGGCGGCCCTCGCCCCGGGAACTCTCGCGGCGGCGGCCGCAGGCCCAGCGCGTTCCGCACGCGCGTGGCGCGGGGGAACATGACGTCGAGGCGTAGCCGCCGCTGCTTGCCCGACGCGCCCGCGCGACCAGCGCCCACGCCTCTCGCGCAGCCGACGGCGACGCCCTCGCGCAGCGTCTGGCCCTGCGACGGCGCGTAGGCGAGGTGCGACGCGTGCGCCATGGTGAACCCCGAGCGGCGCGCAGCGCGCGGCCCCGAGCTCTGCCACGCGAGCTCCTGCTTGCTGGGCCAGAACATGAGCGCGTTCCTCGCCCGCGCCTCGGCCTCGCCGTCGTCGTCGGCACCTTCGGCGCCCTGTAGCAGCACCTCGGCAACCTCCTGGTAGATCGTGGACCCCTTGAAGCCGCGCACCTGCAGCCAGAGCCCCTGCGGTAAGTAGCGGAGGCGGAAGAGCTGGCCCGGCGGGCACTTCTCGCACCGCTGCTCGTCCTCGGGGCGAATGGCGCGACGGTGGCCCGTTGCTCCTGCGCGAGCCCCAACATCTTTTGTCAACTACTCCTCCCCTGGAGGGACACGCCCAGACGCCGCGCGTCGCGACGAGCGCGCGCGTTGATCAACCTCGTCAGCGTCTCCCAGTAGGCGCCCGTGCCGTAGCCGAGCCGAAAATTCTAGCGCTGGCGCCGAAGGTCCAGGACGCCGCGGTTGTCCCAGGCCAACGTCGCTTCCCAGGCGGACCACACCTCTGGCGGGAAGGGCTTGCCCTCTCGCGTGCACCTCAATAGCGTGATCAGAGGGTCCGCGGGCTCGAAGGGCTTCGTGCCTTTCAGCTCGAAGACGCAGGAGATCTGAGAGAAGACCTCGGTGGCGTGCTGAATATCTACCGTCGGCGGTTCCGCGTACTTGTGGGGCCCGTCGCCCAGGAGTTCGCTCACGTCCGTCAGGAGGCCGATGCTACCCGTGGGCTTCAGCTGCAGGAAATCGCCGAGGGGCAACACGATGGGGACGCGCCCGAAGTGGTGGTGCGGCCGCTTGCACGTGGACTCCTGCATGTCGTGCGTGTCGCTGCGTCCGTGACAGGCGCGAAGGTCCAGCGCGATGTACAACGCGGCCGCCACCCGCCTGATACGTCCTCCATATCCAGGCCTCAGGTGCCCAAAAGTGACGGCGGCTACAGGATCCCGATGGCCGGCTCGGATAAAAAACGCGAGGCGGGCCCCATCGGACGGGGGCTCCCACCTGAGACTTCCTCGCAACTTACTCACAGACGAGGTCCCCGCCTGATGCCTTCCTCCAAATCCAGGCCTCAGGGGCCCCATAATGACGACACTAACAAAGTTCCGATGACCCGTTCGGATTAAAAACGTGAACGGCGGGCCCCATAGGGAGGGCGTTCCTGCATGAAACGTCCTCGCAATTCACTCACAGACGAGGTCCCCGCCAGATACTTCCTCCATATCCAGGCTTCAGGGGCCCAACAATGACGACTTCTACAAGGTTCCGATGGCCCGCTCGGATCAACAAAACATCAGGCGGGCCCCATAGGGACGGGGTTCCCACCTGAGAAATCCTCGCACTTGAGTCACTTGAGTCACAGACGAGACTCCCGCATGATATTTCCCCCATCTTCAGGCCTCAGGTGCTTCAGCGCGACGACACTTACAAGGTTCCGGTGACCCGCTCGGACTAAACCGAAACATGAACGGCGGGCCACATGAGGAGGGGTCCTGCCTGAGACGCCCTCGCAACCCACTCGAGGACGAGGCCTTGTTGACGATGGTGGTGCGATCATGATGATGACGATGATGATGATGCTGATGATGAGTGATGATTCGTAGTAGTTGTGAGTGAGTGCGTGAGTGAGTGAGTGAGTTGGATAATGAGTGAGTGTGTGTCCGAGTGTGTAAGTGGATATGATGATGTGATGATGGGGGCGATGATGAAGATTATGATTAGTATGATGATGATGGTTGTGGTGATGAAGCTGATGAGGATGATAATGATGATGTGAGTGCGTGCGTGTGTGAGTGAAAAAGGGCTGCCCAGAAAAAAACAAAAACAACACCTCGGATGTGGGGAATAAAATCTGCATTGTTTCCTCAACTTTTCTTTCCCAGTGGCCATTCGAAGCCTCAAGATGGTTCCAATATGGCCCCAAAATTGCCCAAGAGGGCCCCAAAAAATACCCAAGAGAGCCCCAAGACGGCCCCGAGAGCACCCAAGAACGCTCCAAGAGCGCCTCAAGAGCGCCCCAAGTAGCGACTTGTGGGGTTCCCACGGGGGGAAGGGGAATTGAGGAACCCCTCTTTTTTTATCGATGTCCTCCGAGATGGCCCCACAAGCGCCCTAAAACTTCCAAGAGCGCCCCAAGAGAGCCCCAACAGGCGCCCAGGCAGCCCCAAGAGGCACCCAAGAGGCCTCCAAGACGCTCCCAAGAGGCCCCTAAGAGGCCTCAAGAGGATCTCCGAAGCACCCAAAACTCTCAAAGAAGCCCCGTTGGCTCGCCAAAATGTTCCTCTTCCTCTTCCTCCTCCTCCTCGTCCACGGTCTCTCCCGCGTTCCTCCTCATCGCCCTCCTCGTCCTCCTCCTTTTTCCCTCCTCCTCCTCCTCCGCCTCCGTCTCCTCCACCATCCTCCCCCTTCTTGGGGTGTCGGACGGTTGTCATCGACCTTTGCTCTTCGGCACGTTCTCCCAATTCCGTGGTCACTCAATTCCGTGGGCATCGTGTCTGGGTGGGCTGATAGGGGTAGTTTTTCGTCGCGTCCGAAGTCCGCCCGGGCTACGCGCCAAACCCAATTACCTCAGCGCGCATTTTTGTCGC